AGGCTCTCTCGGACTCCTGTAAAAAAATCTTCGATCTTAAAAAAATGCTCCATGCTCCACTTCTCTACTCTTCTGTCCATTTCACACAATCCGTTCACCTTGCAGCGATGAGCTGTTTTCAGATAGACGAAACGTATGCAAATCTTCAAGCCTAAGTCCCTGGACGTCAACAGGTCACTGGGACATGTATCTTTTGAACATCAGCTGAGTGACTTCCCTTCTGACTCAATTTCAGTCGTATTTTTATACTGACGTCGTTCAGCTGTTCTATTCTTCTTTGAAATTATTCTGGCGACCAGACTCAGAGCATCAGAATGTCTTCCGCAAATCGCAGGTGGCTTAAGTACTGCCCATTTATGTATCACTTTCTTGATTTTCCCAATGGAGTACGCTGAAAACTACTTCTAGAGCCGAACTGAATAACTGCCATGATACTGTGTCTCCCGGACGTACGCCCATTAAAAAAATGTGCACAATTCGAAACCTTGATCCGGTACTTACACCAGACTTCGTCACCCAGTGTAGCTTAGTCAGGAAAATAAAACCTCTCGCGATTCACTTCCGTATCCCCTTAAAAGAAAAAGACATTTAGTGTTACATCACATCATGCTGTCGTGAACAAACACGATTACGTGGTTCGTCAAAAGCGACGACAGTACCTCGCGTTCGCTGCAGCGTTCTGCGGCCAGTAGCCGTGGTCAGCAGCCTGATCGTTCAGCTGAACACCAACCACCAGTACGCCCCTTCATCCGTCTTAACGTCGCATAATCACAAGTTGCGCCAGCCGTAACTCTTGGTTACCTACGGCGCTGAAGCGCCGACACAAAAGTTTCGAGTCATAAAAAACGTGTCAAGGCCAGGCCAAACATGGAAAATCATAGCAGCTGCACAGGCAGATTTATTTACCGTCAAACCGGTGACATTGAGACAGGTGTCGTGGTGTCACGTTAACTTATTTCGGCAACATCAAGGGTGACAACAGGCAAAACCGAACCTCGGTTGGCTCTGACAAACGCACCGCCGTATAACCGAACGCTATGTAAAAAGTGACTTGTGGTGAGACCCGTTTCAAGGCATGGATAAGAAAACCAGTGAGGAGGTGGCAAATTTGAGGTCTCTGTTGTGAAACTCACCCTGCTGTTTCGATCTTTTCATTGGGTCATAATCGCGTCTATCACGATGACTAATTCGTCGTCACGCTGAGAATGCCTAAATTGGGATATGCTAGTCCATGAATAGAAACAAAGTTTCTCTTCGATGCCCTCCGCACACAGTTGTGTTTATTTTCATCGTTATCTAAAGTTAGACAGAACCTAAATATCACATTTCATTAAATATGTTCGATCCAACTGGATTAAAACGGTTTTACACAGGTCACATTTCTCACAGACAATGGTTGTCTCATTCGCACGACGAAGAATCGATCCTGCCTTTACATCAGATCTTACGGCATTTCCTTAGTTATTTAAACTCTAACCGATGGACGGACTGGCCGAGGTTTGCGCGTGATGTCCGTAAATCTTTGATGCCTTGCACTCCGGTTCGTCATATTCCCAAAGATGACGAAGTATAAGTTATACATTCTTACTAGTTCGAAATTATATTGCTTAATACGATATAACAATGAAATTAAAAATTTATATGAATAAGCGTTAATATACGACAAATACTATTATAAATATTATGCAATATTCTAT